GGTATAAAAATCATTATACTAAAAATATTATTGGCAACTTTTGGTAATATTTCAACGAATCATTAACTGCAGATTAAAATACCAGTTACTAATTTGAATGAGTTTTTAAGTTTCGTTACAATCTTCAAATGTGTCAACTGATGCACTTTTCGCTTGAATTTGGGGCGAAGTTGACCGCCGGGATGAAGTTGTCCATCAGGTCAAGACTTGCAGGATCTTGTATCGTATATCGAGTCGGCGCTGCTTTATTCTTTCATGGTTAGTTTAGTTTGAAGCGCATACGGAACTCTTAACAATACAGTGTTATGTAAGTTTTAGTTGGAAAAATAAGTGCTAATGCAGCATCGAAAAAATACAAAATTACACAAAGGGTACCTACGTTAGTGAACAAAATACATGGGCGATACATTAAACAATATAGTGGTCAAACTGTTTTTTCCAAAGTTGAAGAAGATGATTTTGTGGATGGAGTATGCGAATTGGTTTTTTTTTTTTTTTTTTTTTTTTTTTTTTTTTTTTTTTTTTTTTTTTTTTTTGAGGAAGTAAGTAAAACACTTGACGGTGTCAAAACTTAAATTACGACGAAAGTAATTTAAGTGATGATCCGGGGAAAAAGAAACTAATTTATCAAAAGGGTGTCAAATATCCAGATAATATAATAAATTATACTAACAGTACAGTGACAATTATGTTATGTGTTTCGACAACTGGAAATATATTTCCGCCTTATGTAGTTTGTAAAGCTATAAATTTGTGGGATTCTTATGCTTTTTTCTGTGCCCCAAGGAGATCCTAGGGGCACCTCATGTTGTGAAAAAAAAAAAAATGTTGCAGTAAAGGTACGCGTTATAATCGATTTGATGGTTTGATGCGATTTGTCGCAATTTGGGCGATTTGTCGCAATTTGGGCGATTTGTCGCAATTTGTGCGATTTTTCGCAATCAATTTACCGATTAGTTTAAGATTTTTACCTCATGCTCGTTTAATTGGAGGAAAGAAGGTCTTAATGAGACAATCTTCCGAGTTATTTTACAAAAAAAGAGCTCAATATTTTTAAAAATAATAAGATTGCTTTCATTTGTCTTCAACCAAATGTAACGCATATCTGCAAACGCGTCCACGTCCAACTTCTTTGGACCAATGAAGAATTATTGGAAACAATTACTACATGAGTGTAGTCTAAAAACTCACCGTGTGTAAGAAAAGTCTATTTCCAAGATTACTAAATAAACATTTTGAGAGAATGGCGCCATCTGCTGGAGTTAACCCTAGTTATGCTTGTGGTATTTGTCCTTTCTCTAAAGATAAACTTTTAGCAACAATTCCTAGTGAGAAGCAAACAACTCATCACAACAGTGTTGATGTATTAAAGGTAATATTAGATTATTTGAAAGAACAGAGAAATCCCAAAGAAAGTGAGCCTATATTAAAACGAAAGAAACTGAATGTTATACCTGGAAGTTCAGTTCCATATGTAGACAGTCCAAAGCAAGAAATTGACGACGCTAACATGACTTCAACAAGCAAGACACAAATTGCGAAGAAAAAAATGTTTGAAGAAAGCGATGAAGCAAGTTTCGGAACAGAGAGCATGAGTGAAGATGTTGTGACATTCAGTGTAATATTGCTAAGACAACAAAATACTTTCACATTAATGATACAGAAGCAAATTCAAATTATTACTATCATTTTCTGATTTATATTGTTGCAAAAAAATTAATTTGGGATAAACAAATAAAATTAAACTGTTTGATATATGAATGAATATGAAGGTTCTAAGTTATTTTAAAAAAAGTTTATTACGTATTTTAAGCAACAAATACGGATAAAAACATTAAAAAAGCCATTTTGATATGAGTTATAAGTTTATTACTCATAAATTTGCTTCAAATGATTCACTTTCTGCTGATAGACGAAAAGGTGAAAATGTACCGTATTTTTGCCTTTCATTTGTTAATAACTAATTAAGTCCAAAAATGGACTGTAGGAATCCTATGGGTACTTGTTATAGAGGTCTAAACTACTCAAAACAACTCTCGTTAGCCAGACCGGGTTAGTGACACGAAAAAAATCATATTTCCCTGGTCTAAACTAGGACCGACGCGCGACGGCTTTACGTGCCCTCCGAAGATAAGTAGCGGCTCAATTCAATTAGAAACTAAAAATTTTGTAAGTGCCGGGATTCGAACCCGGCTCCTCCAGCTTGTTAAGCCAGTAACATAGCCACTGCGCTACTGAATATTCTGACCATAGAATATTCCATTGGTTAATTGTTGCTTTGTATAATCATCTTTGTATTTAGTCCTAACTTTACACAAAGTAATGCCATACATTTTAATTTTGTAGAAATTGGTAAGAATTAAAGACATATGTGATATCTTCTATTATTTCTTTTGTATTTTGTAATATGCGTACTCGAGTTTGACTATTGTTGCATTTAAGATTTAAGCAGATATCACGGATTAATGCATAGAAATATTCAGAAAAACAAAGACTAAAAATAAAAGCAAATCTCAATGCCAGATCAGAAGTGTAACTTATGTTTTTTTATATATGTAATTTGTAAAATGTATTTCAGTACCTACATACGTAATTTTAATAAAAAAACCTATCAATACAAAATAATGTGTATAAAATCAATAATACAATTCCATGCCTTTGTACCATGTGTACTGTCCTACAGATTAACTTGGCACAGTTAACTATTACATATTTAAAAAATTGGCATATATCATCGATGCGCGCCAACATTTTTTGGCAAATAAAATCTGAATATAAGGTTGTTTCAATGACAAACAAAAATAATCACTAATGTTATTAATAACTGGATTAAGTATATTAAATTAGACTTTAGAGAACAAAACACGAACAATGTTTCACACCTTAAATAAAGTTCTCTTATTTTTTCACCTTTAAGACGTACGGATGTTTATTTCCTTTAGGATATATTTCTTTAGATCATCCTCTGGGTTTCTTTACACCCAAAATCTTTCGAACCTAAGAATATAAGATAAGTTAAACAATCTTTATTTTATTCAGCATTTGATTCAGATTTTGGCAATTATCAATTTTCTCTTTCATAATTTCGGCTCGACCGGTTTTAGAATAACTTTTATGTATTCAGTTAATCTGTAAATATTATTGTTCTCGGACGCTCCTATTTATAGACCTTGTTGGTTTCTGATTAATACTTTCTCCCAAACATATTAATTTCAGTACATTGTGCTACACTGAACTGGCAACATAGCTTAGTGTAGTTGTGGTTTTGCTTGGCCCGTCGTTCGTAAGACGTAATTGGCTGAAGTGTGTGCGACAGAATTCTCCAAACCTCTTCGAGCAGCCCTTCAGTTTTATTTGCGTTTGGATGAACGTCGTGTTTCATCCTTACCACAAGAAACCATCCTAGTACAAACCTCCTCGTTGGTAGAGCTGGGAATCCATATTCGTTGAATCATAAATACGAGCACTTTTTAGAGTACATACTCTGATTTTATGAATAGTGATTGCTAATTGTACAAGGTGTATCCGATTGGTAGTGTGCGCCATATTAGAGCTTTGGTCGGTCCCTTTGGGATCCTTGAGTACGTGCACCTGTGTAGTTACTAATCAGTTTGATTTTTCGAACTCCTATAAGTCTACACACCCTTCCAGTCTCCTGGAAGCCTTAGTTTTTAGAGTAATGTAGGTCCCAAATATCTAAGTGATAAGTTTTTATTTCCTTCTCATCACGTTACTCTACAAACCATCGTGCAAGATGGTCATTTGTGTCCTCTTTGTCCTGGATCTAGTTAACCAAATGTTTTTTCGGATACAAGACGAAAGTTACGGCACAGTAAATCGAGGTTGTGAAGAGATGGTCAAACTGTTCCAGTTAAATGATCTGATGTTATATTTATTTTAATTAAATTGACGAGAATATTTTTCTACTTTTATCCATTAGCTTTTATTTGCATCATTCGTCTGTTGATTTTGATGTATTTATGTAATATATCTTACAAAAACAAGAGATAAATTAACCGATTTTGGTAAGTATAATAATTAAAAAATAGTAAATTATGTTATTGTGAAAAGTTTTTTATCGGTCAAAGTTCCTATAAAGGGATTCATAGTAAATCCACAAGGAATCTACGTTCCTGTAGTTGGCTGTATACCATGTATTAAAAATTTAATTAAAAATCCTTTGTAAAAGGTATATTTTAGGCCCAAACGGGCTAAGTTAAAAAGACAAAACGTTTTCGGAAACCATGTTCCATCATCAGTGTCCTAGAAAATAAGTTAACCACTTAATTAAAAAGAACATAGGTTAAAATTTTGACTAAGGTTAAAGAACAATGTGGTTAATACTTACTAGGAGTACATGAATGAAGCCACCAAGATTAAATATGTGGGTAAAAACCGATTACATATGTTTGATTACATTTAGTTTTAAATTAATGTTGAAATGATATAAGATTACAGAGTTACCGATGGATTTGGTAACATGGCGACATATGACTCCACGTTGAAGTTGCTAGTCCTGAGACGGTATGTCTTCGAGGACAATCAGTTGCACTCATATAGTCCTCGAAGACATACCGTCTCAGGACTAGCAACTTCAACGTGGAGTCATATGTCGCCATGTTATCAAATCCATCGGTAACTCTGTAATCTTATATCATTTCAACATTAATTTAAAACTAAATGTAATCAAACATATGTAATCGGGTTTTTACCCACATATTTAATCTTGGTGGCTTCATTCATGTACTCCTAGTAAGTATTAACCACATTGTTCTTTAACCTTAGTCAAAATTTTAACCTATGTTCTTTTTAATTAAGTGGTTAACTATTTTCTAGGACACTGATGATGGAACATGGTTTCCGAAAACGTTTTGTCTTTTTAACTTAGCCCGTTTGGGCCTAAAATATACCTTTTACAAAGGATTTTTAATTAAATTCATAGTAAATCAACGTCCAGAACTTTTTTGAGAACTATCAAACTATAACTCTGAATTACTTACTTTATGTCCCATGTCGACCAACATCCTGAACTGTTTGGAATTCCAAACCATTTCCTTGGTAAGCTGGGGTTTGCTCTGTTGTTTGTGTCCCCATTCAGATTCGTCCCATAGAGGATCCGGCATTTTCTGTTTCGCCCAAGAACCAGGTTCGTCCCAAGCTGTACCTGGTCCCGTTTCGTCCCAAGATCCATTGCGTCCATGTCCGCCCCACATCGAACCTTCAGGTTGCTTCATGCCGCGTGCTTGATTCATACCAGGTGGTCCGGCAGGATTACCTCCACGGCCCATACTTCCCCCTGTGGGCAGATCTTTCCAGTGAGAGCCTAGTGTAGGGTGCAAATTTAGGTTAAGTGCTTTCGTAACAGATTTTTTTATAAATTATTATCTGAAAATTATTGCTATGTGTAGAATTACATGATACTTAATAAATTAAGGTATGTGTAGAATCAGTACTAGATTTATTACGGCAAATTCTACTTTTAATAATAAAAAACAAAAGTAAATAAGAATTCTCTATTATAAAAATATATTGAGAAAATTTTTTAAATATTGAAAATATTTTGGAACAACAATGTTTATTCTTAATGAAACATATTAGGTATTATTCTATAATTACAAATGGTAGTGGTTACAGTGACACTCATAATGAGTTTATTTCAGTTTTGAATCATCATTTTCTTCTTTTCATGTACCGCGCCAGATGTCGATTTAAGATTTCAGATCCTGTATTATCTACTAAAACTCCCTCTTTTAATTTTTTATCCATTCTTTTCTTTGGCATTGTTGTATTAATTAAAATGTTTTTTAACTTCTCTATGGGTTACACATTATAATATATATTCTAGGAATATAGTCATACCAACTCAATACTTTGATTTTTCTGCAATTTTCCTTAGATTCCTTTTTCTTGATCTTGATAAACAAAATGCATAATACTTGTGATGTAAACATGAACAGTTTTAGTTTTAAAGTTAGTGGGAAAACATAAAGACAGTATTAGATTTTTATTTCGATGTAGGGCACCCGCAAGCCGCTTATACGTATTTCAACATTTTTAGTTCTCATCAGAGCGACATATGCAGTTGCTCTTAATCGAAACAAAATCTCTACCGTCATACGACAATAATTATAAAAATAATTATTTACAGACGTTACAACGCCATCATCAGTAGGGTAAATTTAAAGTATGATTTAATTCAACACATTTCTATATTATTATTTTACATGAAGTTTGTTTATTTTGGGTGGCACAAAAAGCAAAATATTGTACACCATTTTATAATCTATACCAAAAATTTTCTCAATAACGTTAAAGCAATAAAAAATTCTTCAAACAGAAGATAATATTGAATAAAAACTTAAGAAGTCCTACACATTGAAAAATTATAATTTACAAAACACATCGGCTATCATAAAACTTACATTATATTATCAGTAGAGCAGTTGAAGTACGTTTTTCTCTTTTAATAAAAAAACAAAGTAACTTACCTTGTTGAGGATTACCCCACAAAGACGTTCCGTCATCATAATTTGGCATATTACGTCTTTGAGATGGTGGTGATGGTTCTTCCCAACCGCCCGTACCGTTACCTGGAGGAACTGGCATTTTGTTGTGATGATGTATTGGTTGAGATGCTGCATGAGGAGTGCCTTGGCCCAAAACGCTTCTGCTCCAGCTCCGTTTAGTCTTCCAGTAATACCTATATATACAGTTATCATTACGTGATATATCATGAATTATAGAAAAACTATACATATTCAAATAAGTAAAATCTTTAAAATGTATGAAAAGAACTTACCACGTGGATCTCCTCTCATATCACTATTAGACATTTGCCTCATGGTCTCTCTTGGATCCATAATTCTCATGGTTTCTGTATTACCTGCCCGCATATCTCTCAGTTCTGGGCGGATTTCTCGAGGGTCCATACCAGTTTGGCGTGGATCAGCTGCACGTGGATCACCCCAGCCACCAGCATTACTTGCACCTGTACCCCAATCATTTTCTTTTTTGGGACCTGAAAAGAAATTATACAAATAAATTATGGTGTTTTGTATTTTAATCACAAATGTAAAATACAATACATCTTTAATTGCATTATTTTAATTTCTAGATGTTGGTATTCAGCTACTATCCTGGCCTCCTATAAGTGCAGACCTTAACCCTATAGAGCATTTATGGGTTAACTAGTTAGTTAAAATTATGGTGAGTTTGAAACTGTGGTAGCATTAGAATAGGCGCTGGTAAATAAGTGAGAATAAATACCGCAAAACGAAATTGCTACTTTTATGTGGTGCATGCCAAAGATGATAAGATCAATTTTAATATAGATTCAAACTTCATTTTTATTTTATGGTTTGTTATTGAACATACAATAAAAAAATTATTGTAATTCTAATACTTTTTAATTTTACTTAAAAGAACTTAGTTAATTTTGATGGTTTGCATCAAAACAAAAAGAAAATGTAAATTATCCAGACGCCCCTTTACTAGTGAATGTCAGTGGAAAAATTACAGAACATTCTTGAAAAAAGTACTACCAAACATTAATTAACTTTAAAAGATCTGCTGAAACGTCCAAAATTTATCTATATTTCCTAAATACGCAAATACAAAGCTATATTAATAACTCAATGGACAATCTACTTTGAAATAAAAAGACAATAAAGGTAATTATAAAACTGGAACAAATATATTTAAAATGGTTTCTAAGGAATATTGAAACCATTCGTTTTGTATATTTGGATGTACAATTAAGCAAATAATGAACAAAATATTTTATGTAAGGTAAAAAATATTATCAGGTAAACAGATAATTGTTTATTTGTTTTTGAACGATTGTTAGTTAAATGCGAAATTATTTAACAAATGTTAGACAACGTTACCTTCACTTAACTTTTTTTAAAATAAAAATAGTGATAATGTTGCACACCATCCATTTTGTATATTTGGATAAACCAATTTCGATATTTTTAAATAAACATTATGTTTCTTTATTTATCTAAAACATTGATCAGTAGAGTTCTATTTGTAACTTTAATATTATTTGTACCGTTTAAATCTTAATCTGAGATCAAATTTGACTAGAAATATGATCAATCCTATTATTATTATATACCATTTCCACAAAATTGTAATTCCAAAAAAATCTGTTTAAAATGAATTTACATTTTACGTAATTTTAATAGAAAACTTACCGCCCCACATGGCTCCGTTATTCGTATTTCCACCAGCACCCCATTGCGGTTGATTTGATGGTACGCCGGTCCAAACATTAGAAGTGTCGGCGTCGTCGTCCTCGCCCCAAGTACCACCTATGTTCGTAGAGGGTGTGTGACCCCAAGGGGTTTTCTGTTGAGGTTGCGGAGGAGGTTGTCCACCGTTTCGAAGATTCGCTTCCCATAATTCGGTACCATTATTCACAGCCGGTTTCCATGGTGGTGGACCTCCGGAACCATCCATTTTCATAGGGGGCTCAGGGCTGCTGGGAATGTCCCAGTTTGTATCTTGATTGACATGTTGCTGTAAAATGTGGTTTTATGAAATATTTACAAAATGGTCTTTTAAGAAGTACTATATTAATGCACAGTTAAAATAAATATTCAATAGAAGTAATACTTACTCCGCCCCAGCCATCCTGACTAAAAATGGCTTCCCTCATACTGTTGAGTTGTTCCAATTGTTGTTTGGTATTGTTGCTTGGTCCGTTGTTGTTCTGAGAATTAGCAGTAGAGGTAGGAGGTTGACTATTAGGTGGCATTGCATTGTTGTTTGCAGATTTCGTTCCAGGTTGACCCCAACCAGTGTTGTTTGATTGGGAGGTAGGTGGTTGCTGGCCATTGCTCTTATTTGCTGTAAAGAAAAATAGTAAGCAATCACATTTATTTTCAAGCTATGATGCTTAAATCAACCGTTCCTCAATAAAGGAAGAATTCAGAAGACACGGCGCGTTTGTCACTGATAAAAGTAAAATATGAATGAGATCAAAATTTCTGAAAACACTAAACTATGAAAGCAACGGCAGCGAAGTCCACTCTTTTGATAAATTTACAATAGCACCCAATAAGTGATACATATAATGGAGACTATCTAACAACCATCTCTCAAATGACTAAATATAAATATTCGTAGCCATGTATTCAAAAGCTAAGGACTAATTACAGTTTACCATTGTGAGTGGTTAATTTGAGAAGACATTACATTCCCTGAATAAGTCAGTTGCTGTTTTTAGTTAGCTTTATGATTTCACTCTCTCATACTTTATATTTTGAATTGGGTACATAAACGATGTCGAGATAACATTATAATTTAACATGAAACCCATTATCTATAGGTTGGCTTCAGGCCACATTCGGCAGTGTCAAGAGAACAGTACTATACTAATCAATGCGTGAGTTGGTATACAAGAAATACCTTATCGGATTAACGAGAATGACAATGTCTAACTTAAAAGCCAACGTTAGGATACAGGGACAAATTTCTCGATCCTTTGAGATAAAGAATGGACTCAGACAAGGAGGTGCCCTGGCTTGCCTCCTATTTAACATTGCCTTAGAAAGGCAGTCCGAGACAGATGAATTGGAGACGGCGGTACTATTTACAATAGATCGATACAAATCTTAGCATACGCTGATGACATTGACTTAATAGGGCGCAGCAAGCGAGATGTTGCGCAAAATTTCCTAGAATTGGAAACGGTGGCGAAACAGGTCGGTCTAGTCATCAATGAAGACAAAACCAAGGACATGTTGGTTACTAAGGATCCTATAGCAAATAAGGAACGGGAAAGAGCATTTGGAAATCATATCTTTAAACGTGTTGATAGCATAACATACATTGGCTCGCTAATGACTACTACCAATAAATAATAGGGCATACTATGGACTCCAAAAACAATTTCAAAGGAAAACTAAAATTATTATATTCAAAACACTGGTCCTCACATCAGATAAAAGGTTCATTAAAACACAGCGGCTTAGATGGGCCGGACACATAATATGAATGCTTGACAACATGTTTGCTAAAAAGCTAACGTCAGGAACACCTATAGGAAGAAGATGCAGAGGCCTACCGCGAATTAGGTGGTTAGATCGAGTTGAGACTAGCTTAGAGATACTAGAGATCAGATAGCAACAGGTTGCTAGAAACCAAACAGAATGGCGACAAATCTAGTCGAGCCAAAGATGATAATAACAGCATAAAGATGTCAGATTTTTAAAACTCCATTTTTAAATGTTTTCCCTTCGTACAGATTGAATTCAGCACAAGAGGATTTGTCCCTTCTCATTTTAGTTTTATTAGCATCATGCAAACAGTTCAAATATTTTTGATCAATTCCCATTAAGCAGGAACGGCTAGAAGAATGGTTGACATTAAGCTAAATAAAAATTAGGAGTATAATCTTTATGAAGATTCATATTTTGTATTGCATGGTGTTACTTTTAATAATTCTTTTAATAATTGAAAAGTATTGTATGGCATAAACATAAAGAATGCACCTAAGGTGTGTCAATTTAAATGTGATTAAATTCAATGTGGTGCAATATGTAACGTTACTTTATCCTTATCTAAGCAAAATTCAAATCGCGTAGTGCCTAGCATGTAATTGTTTGTTTTATTAAATCATTCCAATTTATCGAAATATTTAATCTTATCAGAAATATATTCAGAATGTGTAGGTTTAACACAATTGATACATATTATCAGATCCTTGATTTTAGGAAATAAAATCAGTGATTGAATATAAATTATTTAGCCTTATATAAAATTTACGTTTCATTAGATCTATATGTCAAATGGATACCAAAATCTGCACACGATTTCAACTGGATATGGAGAATTATTAATGATGCTAAAGGATATTGACCAGAGGTGGCAAATTGTAAATTATTAATATACCTTTTTATAGTTCATTAGCAAGATTTGTCACACTTATATCCAAGGTTAATTTTATACTGTAAATAAAATAGTTTTTTCGCTGTAGCCAGATGAGTTGAATAATTAACTTATTTCCAATTATGAAACAACACATATACATTCAATAATATTGTATATGGCATTGAAACTACAATTGATTGTAATCGGTATTACATTTTACATGCGTTTTGAAGTTTTGATTTCCAATCCGGACATGTGGACACTGTCCAGCTATGTTGACATTATCCAGGTTTTTTGCATTTATTTTTATTTGTATCAAATATAAAGAGCTATTCTCTGTGATTCTGGAACCATTTCTTTCACCGCTGATGGAAAATATCATTTTTAGGTTATCAATCAATTTATCACAATTTTATTTCAGACGTTCTTTGAAAATGATTTCCGGATTGGAAATCGAAACATCAAAATAAAACAAAAAATGTAATTTTTATTACAATTCATTGTGGTTTATTCCCATATATTAAGTATTTAGTGTTTCCTGTTCCCTAAATTAGGTACTCTGGCACAATGACTGAAATATTTGGCGATTTTATACTTTGAGCAAAAAATATTAAAGCGGTACAAGAAAGTTCACCCTAACACAACAACTAATGAAAACGTTGATGTTAAGAAAATTGTGGAGAATCGTCGAATATCTACAGAAGTTGCTGAGCATATCAATTTTACCTGATGTTTTGGACAAGAAACGTGTGGCAGCGAAGTTGGTTCTGAAAATGATAAATTTTGACTGAATGAAAAGAATCATCACATCATTATCAAGACCTGTTGAATTAAAAACAGAACCTAAAATAGGCCTCTTCGCCAGAAGAGCTCAAGGCTATACCAAAAAGTGCATATCAGAAGTGCTTCAAGATCGGACAAAGCGTTTGCGTAAGTGTATTATATCTTGTAATTGTTAAAGTGTATTGAAGGAGACAAAATAGATACTGATGAATAAAAAATGAAGAAAAATACTGATCTTTGTCCTCATCTTTTTTACACACCGTGTATAATACATTCTATCTGAGCAATTTACTCTTCATTTTGGTAGCCTTTAGTCTAATCCAAAGTATTCAAACCAGTCGTAAAGTTTTCATAGAATGCTTATCTACAGAACTAAAAATGTCCTAATAATAACACATACTGGATGCTGTGAAAGGTTAATTAAAGGTGGTTTACTGGAATCTCAGTCGACCTCAACTATATACTACCGTGAATAAGTGAGTGTAAAATCAGTGTCAATGTAAGATAAGTGAATGTAAGAAGAGTGTTTTCTTCAAAGAAACACTACGTGAATAAGCGTCTTTGAAGAAAATATCACTCAAATAATCGAGTTGATTGATCAAAAGATCGAATCGTGCAAAAGCAAAAATGTTATTATTGCTACTTATGTAGTAGAAAAACTTCTTTCAAGCTTTAGAAAACTGATGTTGATGAAAACTGACTTTCACAGATGTTCGTGACCAGAGCAACTCGCAGATTTTGCGAAAATGCGGATGCAACATATTATCTGCAACTGCAGAGTAATTACGGGATCGGCAAGTTTGGAGGCATAGTTGGGAGGAGACCAAGGCTCGAGCGTCATTGGAGAGAGGGGGCAGCGTAATTACGCTAAAAAATACTATAAACACCTGAACAGGTCTTTTTAGAAGCTAATAAGGTAACAAAGGTAGCACCGGCTTGGGTAATGAGCTTTCTTAGAAGTCTTTATATTTTTGACTAAAACAGATGTTGGGTAAATACGAAAGATCTCACAGGTCACAGTTGAAAGGTATTCGAGGCCAAGCGATCCGCTAGAAATCTAAATAGCTATTACATAATATGATTTAACAGTGGCTTGAAAACGATCATATCGTAGGAACTGTACACATTTAAATAATCGTTATTTTTGTGTTTCATGCCACAGCAGGACTTCTACTTCTTCTAGCTCTACTGCTCCACTACGTGAGTCTTGATTGCGTTTACTGTTTTCCTCCACTCTTGCCAGTCTTGTGCAACAATCTCTCACTGTTGCACCTTCATCTTACGCAGATCACCCTTAGGCTCACCGTTACGCATCATTCCATCTTTTGCTTAGGCGACCAACTGACCTGCCAACAGGCCTTTCCCAGAAGGTTGTATTTAGTATTCTTTCATCATTCGCTCTCAGTACATCTTATACGATTTGCCTTGATGTATTGTACTGTTTTTATCTCTACAGAGTGCTTGGACCGGGTAATCGAACACTAGCAGAAGAACAACAAGGTTTTACGTCACAAAGATCATGCACCGACGCTATATTTATGAGGCAAGTGCAAGAGAATCATTACAATACAACAAACCGCATATCTGTTTCGTGGACCTTAAGAAGGCATTTAACCAAGTCAAATTAAACGACGTGATCGATTTATTGTACGCAAGAGAGATACCTTTAGAAATAATCAAAACGATCGAAAATATCTACCAAACACAATAAAAGTAAAAGTAGAACTAACTGAACCTATTGAAGCTGATAATGGCATAAGACAGGGGAGATTCCCTGAGTCCACTGTCGTTCAACCTGATTATGGATGAAATAATAAAAAAATAAGAACTAAAATAGGATACCAAATAGGAGAAAAACAACGTAAAGTAATATGCTATGCAGACGACACAATACTACTAACTCAAAGTGAAGATGTGTATCCTGCACCAATTTAATATAACCGCCATAAAATTGAATTTCCAAAAAAAAAACATGGTTATAACAGCAAATTTACTAAGACGTAAATTGGAGCTGGAAGATCAGAACAAGTCATAGTTTAAATATCTAGGGAAGAAGATACTTACAACAGAAGTGGAAGATCAAGTAAATAAAGCAAATAGAGTCACAGAGTGCCGAATGAAACAATATTGAGAAATTAAAATATCGAGAAAAAAATGAAAGGCAGAATTTACAAAACAGTCATCAGACCAAT